CAGCACCCCTGGCCTCTACCCACTACAAACCAATGGCAGGAGAGAGCCAACATACTCAAAATATCCAAATCAATAAAGTTAGTGGTGAAAATGAAAAATGTGTCCTTTATTTAATGGAAAAAATTAAATGGACTTTTTGGCCCACCCAATGGCTTTCTATTGTCATGGTAACATTGTACCAAACCATCTAGTAGGCTTTATAACTCCTAAGAAGTCATACACCTTTATCAGATCATTCTAGTAGATTAGAGTCCTCATCCATTTTACCCACAGTCTCCTCCCCTCCTATCCAAAGAGCCAATATTGTTGAACGTGGTACCTGATATCATGTGTCCCACTCAGGAAGACCACAACTGTGAGCTCCCATCAGGGACTCTGACTCAGAGGAGTCAGCCCAGTCCAAGGGATCTTCCCATTCACAGGCGATCCCTGAACAGTTACTTTTATACCCCCATATTTATACCCACATCTGTCTAAATGTTGTATATACAATACATACGGTGGAATATTATTTAGACTTAAAAAAGCAATAAAATTCTGATACATGCCACAACAAGGATAAATATTGAAAACATTATGCTAAGTGAAATAAGCCAGATGCAATAAGTCAAATATTGTATAATTCCACTTACATGAGGTACGTAGAATAGGGTACTTATTCTGGAGACAGAAAGTAAAATAATGAGTAGCAGGTGTTTGGGAAAGGGGACAAATGGGAGTTATTGAGTAAAGGGTACAGAGTTTCAGCTTGGGGTGATTAAAATGCTGAGGAGATGGCTCTGGCCGGGTTGCTCAGTTGGTTGGAGCACTGCCTCATACATCAAAATGTTGCAGGTTTGATCCCTGGTCAAAGCATATACCTAGATTGCAGGTTCCATCCCCAATGAGAGCACGTGCAGGAGGCAACCAATTGACGTTTCGCTGACATTGATATTTCTCTCTCTAAAATCAATAGACATATCTTCGGGTGACGATTTAGATGGGATTGTTCTGGAGATGGATAGTGGTAATGGTTGTTCAACTATGTGACTGTACTTAATGCCACAGAACCGTGAAATGAAAATAATTAAATATGGTAAATTTTATGTTGTCTTTTTTACCACAATAAAAAAGAAAAAATATCAAATAATTCTAAATGATTTATATAATGACTCCTTCGCCTGTTGCCCTTCCCCCTTCTGATCCACAGTGTTGTGCTGTGTTCAGCTGCTTCCGCTGGGATATACTGTATTTTGCTGTGTATCATGTGCACTCACATTTTTAGCCCAAACTTTAGGAAAAAAATCTTTCATTTTAATTTTTAAATTCAATTATTTATTTATTTATATTTAGATACTTGTTCTTTTGCTTTATAAAAGAATTTTAGTATTTATTTTTGAACATATCATGGTACAAGAAATTTTACATAACAGATAATTACAAAACAAAAGAACAGATACAGAGTATTTCAGATACTACCCATGTATAATGCACATCCTTATTTTTCCCTCAAAATTTCGGGCAAAAAATGTGCAATATACATGGCAAAATGTGACGTTTACAAACAGGTATTGCTCAAATTCTTAACTTGTTTTTCATGCCATTAATAACTGCCTTGTTTCGAAATTTTCCTTGAATGTCCACCCTCTCCTTTCCCCGTCACGTGCCCCTACAGATGTCATAAACCTGACCATGACGTTTTCCCTTGTGTCTTGTGCTCTCTAGGCCTGCTTTCTGGGTTTGATTCCAAGTTTCAATGGAGCAGAATTTCCAGCCTTCTTCTAAGAGAGAACTCATAAGAGGCTCGTTTTTTGGTGTTTAGATGTTTTTATTCCAGTATCATACGGTAGTGTCACTTTGGGCAGATAAAAATACCTGCACACCAGCCTCTGGGGACGCCCTGCCTGCAGATCCCCCCTAGATGCCGCAGGGCACCCCAGCACTCAGTGTGCCTCGCCCACACCCTGCTGTGGCTGACTTCCTGTACTCAGGGCCTGGGGAGGGAGCTTTGGCTTCCCTTCTGTTCAAGGCTCGTGAGCATGAACAGAAAGCTGGCCCGAATCTGCAGGAGAGGGAGAGCCCACAAACTTGAGTGTTAGCTCTGTCCTTGGAAAAGCAAGAGGGGGGCTGTCAGAGCCAGGCCTGGTGTGTTCCAGGATCAAAGGGACATAACCACTTAAAAATTCAGCCACCAGAGGGCACAAGAAGTACGGGGCCGGCGTGGCCACAGAAGGTCTGAGAAATCCTCGGTCACTAGGTTGCTCAGAATCCCTAGTAGGGCTGACAGAGGGCGTGGCCTCTCTTAAAGTCAGGAAATTAATCGAATCCATTAATCCATTAATGAATAATGGAATATTATTCAGCCATAATTGGCGGAAATCCTGCCATTTGTGACACCATGGATAGCACAGAGGAAACGTGAGGGCGTTGTGCCACGTGAAATGTCAGAGAAAGGCAAATACTGTCTGATCTCACTTGTATGTGAAATCTAAAACGCTGAACTCATAGGAACAGGGAGTAGATTGGTGGTTGTCAGGGCTGGGGAATGGAAGACATTTAGGGATGTTGGCCCAAGGGTAAGAACTGCCCGTTATAACCAGTAAGTCCTGGGGATCTAAGGTACCACGTGGTGACTATATTTAACGATATCATGATGGCATCACATGACATGCATTGATCTGTGTCTGACATTTTAATTCATTGTGACATATCTGAGCTCATCCATTTTGTGTTTATCAGCAGTTTGTTACTTGCCATTCCTGAGTAGTATTTCCGCATGTGAACAAACTGTTCTCTTGTTGATGGGTATTTATTTTCTGTCATTATTAGCTGTAAAGCATAAAGGTACGATAAATGTTATAACAGAAGTATTTGTGAGGACATATATTTTTACTTAATTGAGGTGATTACTTATAAGTAGAATTGCTGGATCATAGGCTAGGGATATACTTAGCTTTAAATAAACTTAAATTCTTTTTGAATGGGTTTTACTAGATTATACTCTGTCCTACTTGTGAATTGTCTGCCGGGCTGCTGTGGCCTTAGATGACCCTGGAAGGAGATCTAGGGAAGCGGAACCACACCTTGGATCGAGGAAGTTGGTTCTGCAACACAGATTCTAAGAGAGAGAGTCTGTCTCCTTTGGATTCTGCATTTGCCATCAGCTGGGCTTCAGTGTTTCCAGCTGCGTCACATGACTCAGCACAGCTGCTCAGGCTCACAGGCCAGTGCTGGGACAGAGGGTCCTGGGCAGCTGTCAGCACAGCTCCCTCAGGGAGGAGGGCCTCCCCGTTGGGTCCTTCCTTCACAGCGTAACTGTGGACTCCTGGTCTGTTAGTGGCATCCTGGGACCTGCACGGGGTTAACACTGAAACGGAAGCATCCTTCCTGGGAGCTCTGGGGAGAGACCCAATATAGTATCTCTTCAAGAGATTACAAATTGATTCAACTCTTCTGAGGGTGGTTTGATAACAGCTGATAGTTTACTATAATTAAAAAGATGTATAAACGTACAGACTTGTGAAGATATTTATTGCATCAGTATTTATAGAAGTGAAACTAGAGAAAACAAAATGTTCATCAGCCTGTACATTAAGTAAATGATCAGTATATTCATAAAGTGAATATTAAGCCATCACTTCAAGTGTGCTTGCTATATCATTGCTAATATGGAAAGGTTTAATACACACACAAGCATGCATATACACTGATATATAAGATTAAATTTTATATCTAAAGAATAAAGTAGCAGGACAGTATGTTTATTAAAATATCATTTACTTAAAGAGAACATACGGAGATATTCATGTACATTCACAGGAAACTTCTGTATGATTACACTAGAAATTTATAATAATATTTAACTCTAGGAGATGGATGAGGAGAATAAAGCAGATGGTGAGACATTTACCTTATATCTTCCTGCTGGATTATTAAATTATGACCTGTGCTCATTTTGTGAAAATGACAGTTGCTTTTCAAAGTATAAAACTAATTATTTGAAATGTGATTTTGTGCTTTAACTCAACATCCCACGCATCCTCACTTTTCTGGAGGGTTTATTTATTTATTTGCCAATCTCAAATATTGTTTCTTCAAGCTCCCCTCCTCAATTCAAGCAGCTCAGGCAGATGGCCCACTAGTCTTTGCAGATCTGGAAGGGAAACCTGCAGCTGAACAGCCACGGCTGGGGTGCACGCGTGATGGAGGAGGGGACTGGGCTGTGGCGTGAACAGTGGGCGGCGGGACGAGCTTTCGGATCTTCTCTATTTCTCTTACCAGGTTCCCATGACATTGGCTGGGTGGTGCGTAGTGGAGACAGAGATCACCTGGGAAAGATGGGCTTCCTGAAACCCTGGGGATGAAGAGAAGACTCTGACAGAAGCCCACTGGGTAGTCCCTAGGTTTTGGATGTATGTCTTGGAGCCATGAGTGGGGTCATCAGCCTGGGGTCGCTTAGGCGCTGCAGGGAGAAGCAGAGCAGACAGAGGGCTGGCTGTGTGCAGCTGCGACTGCTCGGTGACAAGTAAGGGCCAGGGAGGAAGGCAGCCTGGGCACCGAGAAACCCCTGCCTGGGACACGCCAAGTCTGCCCATTGCACGAAACCTTTCCTTGTTCTAAACTTGATTAGCCTCAGGAGAGAGGGTGAAAGTTTTTTCAGCTTTTCCTTAACTGTATCCCTAGTGTGTCTCTGAACTTGGCAAATTGTTCCTCAGTGTATAGCTATCCTTGGGGACAGAGAAGGGAGAGAAAGAAGGAGGCACAGACCGTGCGAGAGGGGGACACAGCTGGATTCCCCTGAGCACGGCTATTTTTGGACTTTTTCCTAAGTTCCTTTGTGGGGACCGTGCTCTTGACTGTGAGCGGAGAGAGCGGGAGTTGCCAGTTTCCCACACATGGCTCTACGCTAGGTGAACTGATGCCTGAAGAGCCATTGAACTTTCCAGTCGCGTCCCCTTCCTTCCCTGGCGGTGTCTTCCCCGGGTTCCTGTCAATGAAGGAGGGAGGAGCAGAACGTCATCATGGGAGGGCCTCCTGAAACAGGAGCACCTAGAATCTGTGGAGCGGACCGAGGGAGCTCAAGGCCGAGGGTGCCCAGTGCTGGTGACAGAGGTCTCTGCCATCGCCCCCCCTCTTTCTCTGCATCGGTTCCGTATACCTGCTTCCCATTTTGGAGGGAGCTCTGGGACGGGAGGCTGCAGGTGGGCTGGGCAGTGCTTCAGAGCAGCGCGAGTGGGGGGGAAAAGGAGTCAGGTTGGACAATGTTTGCTTATTCACTGATTTGTTCTTTAATCTATTCACTGAGATATTGGCAGACACTCTTCTTGCTGCTAGTGGTGATTCAAGCTAAAGAGCTTGCCTTCAAGGTACTTTATTCCAATGTAGGATTTTGATGATAAAGTAATAATCAAGTCAATGTATAATATGACTTGATGTTACCAAATAATGGACCCACTTGGGGGGGGTGCCCTGATGCTGTTACCGAAACAATGCCCAGCCCCCCTTCTCTGGGGTCCCTTGCCCGCTGCCCTGGAAATTATGGCTCTCCATGGCAGAGTTTGGTGAAAAGGAAAGGGACTACTTATTCAAAAGTTATACAGGTTTGACTAATGGCTAAATGTCGCCCTTAAATCTCAAAATCCCTTTAAAAACACCCACCATTTAAAACACCCACCAACACACACGGTCCTGTCTTCCCCGCTTTGCCCAGTCAGGCCAGTCAGGGGTACCGTCCTTCAGGAGAAAAAGAACAGGAGTCTGGAGCTCGGCTCGGCTCGGCAGGCCTCTCGCCCCTCTCGTGGTTCCCAGCACCATCTGCTGCATGGCCGCGATCTCCAGATCTCAATCCAAAACCAGGGGGCCCCTTCTCAGGGCCCTCTAGCAAGAGCCCTTCCTCCCCTTTTCTTCCCGCGTGGTCTTCACATTGTCCCCCAGAGTCTGTATCCTTTTGTCTCTCCCACAGGCCCTGTCTCTCCTCTTCCAGGTATATTCTGTGTTAAAAGTTTTTCAGCCCTTCCCGGTTAACCTTATTGAGATGCAAAATAACCATCTTTGCATAAGAGGCCTGAAGCTATCCCGTTATTGGCATACAAAGGGACTCTCCAAGGCCCTGCTCCACTTCAGGTAGGAAGCTGGCCTGTTACTGATACGCAACATAGCTCTCAGTGGCCCTGCTCCAGGTCTCCCGAGCCCCATGGCAGCTGGTCTTGTAGGGGGGAATATCTTATATTTTTCTTGGACACCCCAATTTCCAGACCCTGTTACAAATACCCTCTGAGGGGGCCTGGGCTGTGCCCTGTTACACTGAGATATTGATGAGAACCCAAAAAATAAATAAATAAAAATAAAAGTAAATGTATATCGTCTAAAACAGTTAGAGAGTAAAATTGTGCTTGTATCACTTTAGAGGGAATGAGTGAGAAAGGGTCCAAAAAGAGAAAACATGTGAGTAAAGATCTTCATGGTCTTCACTCAAGGTCAAGGGAAGGAGCCCAAGTACCCTAAGGAACTCAGTATAATCTATTTTGGTGTCTTCTAACATCCTTCCTTACCCTAGGGTGATGGAGAAAATAGAAGGCCATATAGATAAGCAGAGATGCTGTTTGGAATTTCCTGAGTTGCTCTCCGAGGCTGAGAGCATGAAGTTTGGTTAGAGGGGCAGACTGCCCCAGCGATACCCCTGGCTGGATGCGTCGCCCAGCTCTTCCTGTACCTTGCTTTGGGGACCACAGAGTTTGCATTACTGGGAGCGATGGCTGGGGACCGTTACGTGGCTGTCTGTCACCCTCTGAGGTACAACATCATTATGAACAGCCACACGTGCATCTGGGTGGTAAGCGTGTCATGGCTGTTTGGGTTCCTTTCTGAAATCTGGCCAGTCTATGCCACGTTACAGCTGACCTTCTGCAAGTCAAATGTGCTAGACTGTTTTTTGTGTGCCTGAGGGCAACTGCTCAAACTGTCTTGCAATAATACTATTTTCATAGAGTTTATTCTCTTCTTAATGGCTGTTTTCATTATCGTTGGTTCTCTGGCACCAACAGTTGTCTCCTACACGTACATCATCTCCACCATCCTCAAGATCCCCTCGGCCTCTGGCCGCAGGAAGGCTTTCTCCACGTGTGCCTCCCACTTCACCTTTGTGGTGATCGGCTATGGCGCCTGCCTTTCCTCTACGTGAAACCCGTGCAAACGCAGGCAGCCGAGTACAATAAGATAGTCTCCCTGCTGATTTCTGCGTTAACCTCTTTCCTGAACCCTTCCATCTTCACCCTCCGAAATGACAAAGTCAAAGAGGCCCTTCGGGATGGAGTGACCGATGCTCTGAGCTGTTCAGGAACTAGTCAGGCATTTTGCATGCGTGGGACAACTCTTATCATGGATTCTAGAAAACTCGGAAAAGTTCTTACTCATCTTTGAGCTGCATCTTGTCATCATCAAATTGTCTGTGTCCAACAAAAGTCTACTAAGTCATGGCTGTGGTTTTCACATGGTTTTTACAGGGTGGGGCAAAAGCAGGTTACAGTTGTTCATATGGAAAATGATACAATAATTAATAAATAATAATACAAGCATAAACTCCGTGTTTCATGGACTCACAAGTATAAATCTACTTTTGCCCCACCCTGTATATATACACTTGGATGTACATACTTTTTCAAGTTACGATACATTTCACAGTAAAACTTTTAAAAACTAAATGTAAAAATAATATGCATGATTTTTAGATTTCTGAACAGAAAAGGCTAGCTGCCTATTTAATTCTAGGTTTTGAACATTCCCCGTTATATATCCTGTGCTTCATGTCCTGCATGTAAAGCTCCCTGTTCCTTCTCTGGCTTAAACATACTCTCTTGATTTCCTGTCCCAAAGCCCTGTGGTCTCATTTCTTCTCTGCAAAGTGTAGAGAAGGAGCTCATTCCACAATTCTGGATGGCTTTATGGTGCCAGGGTGGCTGGTTTTTAAATACAGGCACACCTGTAACTCGTGGACTGTCTCAGGAAGTGCTAGGTAGGGAGGTCTTCTCTCGTCTGACAGCACCTAGATCATGCTGCCTGCCACAGGTGTCAGGGAGGGGGGCAGTGGAGCAGCTGCGCTGGGGCTGAAGTGACAAGGGGTGGCTGGCTCGCTGGGCTGAGGGGGCGTGCACAGAGGGCAGACGAAGGGCAGCCTCTGGTGCCACACCCTGCCTTTCTCACACTCTCGGGTCCTTCCGTGGTCCGCGATACCCGCCCTCTGCTTCCTGTTCCATCATTTATCGGTTGTCTCCGGCCCACGTTCTCTCCTGACTCCGCTTTGTAGCTCTCTGCCCCTGGCTCTGGTTCTCCAGTGCATTGCTTGCTTCTCCTTTTCCTGTGCCCGCTCGCAACCCCCAAGTTCACTGTGCGGCTACCCAGCTTTCCACTGAGCTGTCCTCACGCCTGTTTCCTGTGTTTCCCAACCTTGACCTTCCCTCAATTGGCCCCGCCCTGTTCCCAGTCAACGTTTCCATTGCTTTATGTCATAAGCACAATTTTATTTACTATAGCATTTTTGTAATAACAAAATATTGGTATCTGAATGGGATATCCATTGGTGGCTCGTTAAATAAATTATGTTTTATCTGTACAATAAAATATCATGTAGCTGTAAAAAGAATAAAGAAGCTATTTTTTCAATGATTAGAAGTGATCTTAAAGCTATATTGTTAAATGAAAAAAGCAAAGTGCATTGAACTTAGTATTCAGCCTTCTGTGTAAGGACGGAGTGGAAATGAAAGAACAGTGAAGTCCTCACTTAACATCGTTGATAGGTTCTTGCAACTGTGGCAAAATTATGTATTATAAAACCAATTTTACCATAAGTGTATTGATATCAATGAGAATTAAGTTCCTATGGCAACAATATCACAAAATGACAAGGACATGCTGCATATTTATGGTTGTAGTTGCTTGTGGACAGCTTGACAAGAAACTAATAGGTGGTTACCTGTGGATTGTAGTGGGGGTTGGGCACATAGAATGGGAAAGGGAGCAAGACTCCACCCTTTGTGTAATTGTGTGTGTATTGTCTATAAAAAAAATAAAATAATTCCATTTCTTTTGTGTCTTAGGGATGTAATAATCAATCTCTTTTATTTATGAATTTATGTATCTATGTATGTGTATATGTATTTATTTATTTCTTCTCTTATACAGGAATGCCTGCTTATTTATTGATATATACATGTATTTCTCTAACTGGAAGATATTTGGTAAGTGGAGCTTCCTCTTAAAGTATTTTGGGAGATATTTTTAGTACTTAACATAAAAGCTGGGAGCTTATGAAGAACATTACTGTGGCACAAAGATAGGAAGGGACTTGCCCAAGGTCACACTCTTAGTGTACGGTGGCCCAGGATCCAAATCCACACAGTCTGGCTTCAGAGTTCATCTCCTTAACCGCTGTGCTAAATAGCCTACGCTGCTAAATTGTACAATGCTAATTGTGTCTCTGTATCTGAATTACTCGTTATTCACTATTGTATCAGGATAGCCTAGGTTATGTTATGTTAACAAGCAACCTCAAAAATCTCTGTAGCTCACAACAGCCAATGTTTGTTGTGTTCCCAGTATTGGTCCACTATGTATTGGTTCCCAGTATTGGTTGTCTCCCTGTGCCTGATTGTCTTCAGTATCATCCAGGCTGATGGGGCAGCCTCTAAGTGGGATGGGGAGACAGAGTGCGGTGAACTGGTGTGATTGCATTGGCCAAAGCAAATGACAACGCCAGGCCAGCGATCAGCAGGGCAGGAAAGGATTTTCTGCTGGGAGGGGCAGTGAATCTGTGAACAATAATATAATCTACCACATGCCCAACTTCAATCCAAAAGCATAAGATTATGTATGTCTAAAAAAGGGTGACTTTGCACGTTGTACTTTTCTTTTATTGTTGTAGTCTGTTGCTTCCATAATCTAGCTACATGATTATAATTAGACTCAAGAAGGGGAAAAAAATTGGATGGAACATTGTTTTCAATCCTAAGAGTTTAGCAATCCAGCACCTGGAGTAACTGGATATCCACAAACAGAAGAATGGATTTGGATTCTTACCTTATATCAAAAACAAAAATTAACTCAAAATAGATCAAAGATCTAGATATAAGAGCTAAAACTATGAAACTCTTAGAAGAGATCATGGGGGAACAGCTTCATGACACTGGATTTGGCAATGATTTAATGGATACAACACCAAAAGCACAGGCAACACAAGGAAAAATAGATAAATTGGACTTTATCAAAATTATAACCTTTTGTGCATCAAAGGACATTGTCAAGAGAGTAAAAAGGCAAGTTGAAGAGCCACTTCTAAGAGAAAGATCTCAACTTCAAATCTTCCACTAAGGGCTCCTCCTATTGTTCATTGTCATTGAGGTACATAGTAGGGATCGCTCAATAGATGTAAGCATTTTGTGAGAGAGGCTTTACTGCTCCGTTTTATAGTAAGGGAACCAAGGCACAGAAAGCGTAGGGAATCTGCAGATTCACATAGCATATTGGACGCAAAATCAAAGCTCTAATCCAATGGTTTATTAGATTTTCATTGCTTTAAAAAAAAAACAACACACCACTGCTACCCTGTAAGGTGACATTTATCGATCCTCCTAGAGATCTGGCCACTCCCCCCCCCAGTAATAAACATATAGTCCACATTTTTCCTATATACTCCCCACCCCCACCCCCAGCCCAGCCCAGCTGACAGGACCCCTTTTAGAACTGTGCAGAACACCTCTTCATCGTGGGGAAAATTTGAGCTGTCTGTCTCCTAGGAAAATCACTAGATGTCTTCATTTCCGAACTCTAAAAGTCTGCAGTATATTCTGTCATAGAGTAGGAAGTGTGGCAACCACAGTTCTCCATTTTCAAAGCAAAACAGTCGTTTCCTCTCTGTTGTCTGAATTCTGGCACTTACCTTTGGTTAGAATTCTGCTTACTCTTTTCTTTACCGCAAACTCAGCCCCTCTTCCCTCCTCAGCTGCAGCACTCTTTTTCGCTAACACCGTCAGATTACTAACATAATACCAATGTTCACTCTACCCCAAACTCGATTTATTTCTGGCAGTCTCCTTCAAGCAAATTCGAACACGTAATACATAATCTCATTTTTTAAAATTATGAATAAGTGGCATGCTAATTATCAAAAATTATGAAGCCTAGAAATATAAGAACAGAGCTTAGTGGTGTAATAAAAATAAAGCTAACAATTTAAGTTGACATCCATCTAATGAGAGACACAGTCATTGTACTTTGTTATTAGACATAAATAGTAAACATTTTACTTAGGTGACTATAATTTCCATTAATTTCGGAAGTCTCTCCTATGATTTAATTCTTGTTACTGAAAACCCATGGCATCTCTTTTCCCTGTTCTGTGCACTGAGAAGGGTCTGTAGCCAAAGTCATCTTGGAGTATGGAGGACAGAGAGGACACTCCACGACTTTTCTGCCTCTTTCTTGCTTCCCTTCTGGTCTGGCCAGGTGAACTCCTTATTTCCTCCCGCATGATTTCCATTTGTCCCTGGTGTTCCCTGCCCCCCAATGCCCACTCCTTGCCTCCACCCAATGGTCCCTTGAGCATCTCTCCCCTTTTTCTACTTCTTGATCAGCTGGACCCATCCAGGGGCAGTGTGACGCCAACCAGTGCAAGGCTGTGGCGTCTTTGGACCCGTAGGCTGTCCCTGGTAGCGGGGCTGTCCAGACTGCAAGGAAGAATATGTGGTCCCGGGGCCCAAGAGACGATCCAGTGTCTTAAAATATATGCAACAAATATGATCAAATAATCACAATCTGTAAAAATGGAGACTCAGGCCAAGACCAAGAACATTTTTAGCTTTAGCCTCTCTTAGGGCTTTGCTGGAGAACAGAGGTTCGGTCAGCTTGGTCGCCTGGGCCGTGGGGTTGTCTTAAAAGGGGTTCCCAGCAGATTCCTGGCCTGCCCAGACCCCTCCTTGTTCCCTGGGACAGCGCTCTCTCTGCTCCCAGATCGGCTCCAGGATCCCTTCCCCAGCCCAGCCTCAGGCCTCAGCTCGGACTGAGGAGGGCCTACACTGTCTCGCCGAGGGTGGGGTGGGGTCTTGGGGACAGGGGCCTCTTAGGAACAGAGAGGAGGTCACAGAAGTAACAGGCTGACCCCTGTTGACCAGTCAGAAATGCTCAGTTTCTAGAAACATACTCGACCCTATACCATTTGAGGTGCCTTCATGAAACCGACCCTGTCCCCGGGGCAGGTGCATCTCCAGTCCCCCAGGCAGAGTCCAGAAGCTCACCCCCCCCAAACCAGGCCAGGACCTCCTCCAGTTTACAGATGGATGAAGGGGGCTCTGACTCCATGACCTGTTTGGATCCAAAAGGAATCCAAAGGTGTGACTGTGCCAGGAAACCGGGTCTCGAGGGATGGCCGGGCCAGGGTGGGGAGTGCGCCTCCGTCGTGCCATGCAGGTTTGTCTGCGGAGGGGCCGTGCATTTGCTCTGAGGCTTCGTTTGGGAGCTCTGCCTGTAACCTGTGGGAGATGGCGCAGTAGTTTGATGTGCGATATTCTCTTTTGCTGTCTTCATAGGTATATTTGTTGTTTTTGTCAGAGACCACAGAGAACGCGGTCATTTGGCGGGCTTTTCACAGATCCAGCGGTGCGGGGTGTCACATGATGCAGCATCAAATGTCTTTGTTAGGCCCATGGTTGCGCAGTCAAAACTCTGAAGCTGATTGGTAACGCTAAATGGGAAAAGAGAGCGTGGTTATGATCCATCGTTTCAGCCCCGCTTTTTCCTGATTTCAGTCCCCTTCGATCCCAAGTCCATCTCTAAACTGACCCTTTCCTGTCAACTCTCCTGTGAGCTTTCATAGACTCAGAGCCTTGGATTAATTCTCTCTCTGTTCAGTCAAAAACATCTCATGGACCAGGTGTTCCATTTCCTCCCAGAAATAATGTTTTCATACTGAAAGTGCTGTGTGCCCAGCAGGAGGGCTGAGAGGAGGAGGAAGAGGTCTCTCTTTCTTTTCTGGGCAGCAGGCAGCTCTAGAAAACACTTTGTGGCCTTCTCCCACCTCTTTTTCTGTCATTCAGTCCCTGTCAGTCTGACTGGAAAGAGCCTGATTTCATGGAAAGGGCAAGAGTAGATGTGGGATCAAATTGTGGCTCCATCAGTTCCCAGCTTGGTGGCATTCGACACATTTCTAAGTCTCTCATCCTCCACTCAACTGTCTATTAAGTGAGGATTAATAAAAGCTACAGCATCACTGTCAACACTGCAGAAATGACACATGTGAAGGGCCTGGCATCTAGTGGGCAGTGAACATTCATTTCCTCCCGCTTGTGGGAAGCCCAGTGGCAGGTTGAGGAACTGGCCTGCCTTCTGTCTGCCCCGGCCTCTGACGTACACTGGCAACGGGTGTCGCAATGCTGTCCGCCAATGCTCTGTCCGTGGATTGGGAGTTAACGTTCATAGTTACAAGGCACAGACAAGTTGCTTATGATTTCCTTTCTTTAGAAAAAGACATCTGAGGAACCTGTGAGAACTTGGTCATGAAGTGTGATTTACGGGTTAAAAGAGACTCATGAGATATATCAAACAAATGGTATGTATGTGGGTTTGTTTGGATCCTAATGTGAACAAAATAATTTGTTGTATGAATACTCTTCTCTCTACTGAGAAATGTTGGCTATGTTCCATGCTATTAAAACATTTACAAAAATATGTGTCTCTGGGAATAGATGGATTGGGAGAGAACGGAGACGTAGGTCTCAGCCTTTGTGCCATTCCAGGACACACCCACTGAATCTCAGGTCTGGACTCTTGAGACAAACCATGGATCCCTAGGAAAATGCGAAATGTTTACGTACTTGCCATTGAAAATGGAGTTGTTGATCCAACGCCACCTTTTCTCTGCATGCTGGTATTGTAAGCCAATAAAATACTTCTCAGCTCCAGTTATGTCCTGGAGAAACTTCTAGAAAACAGAAGGTTCTTTGCTGTTGCTTCCCTTGGGCCAGTGGGTCCATGATTATATATCATTCTGGGATCAAGGAAGACTGGTGGGGGACCCTGGGACCGGCTATTGCTGGCATTCAACATAAGCCCCAGAGAAGTAATTCTCAGTCTCCACAGAGTGCCAGGATCACATGGGGATCTCGTTAAAACAGGCTGGGCGGTCTGCTGCAGGGGACCACGGATTTAGATTTCTAACATATGCCCAAGTGATGGGAAATGCAGGGGGAGGGTACTATACCATCCGAAAAAAGATAATTTCAAATCTACCCTTTTTTGTTTTGACTCTCTCTGAATAGGATTGTTTCGTTCATTGCCAGAAATCTTGCATTCCAAATGAAGTTTGGTCAAGTGAATTTCTCAAGTACTTGGCAAGAGAAACCAGAGATTTAAAGTGTACTATTAATGCAGATAATTCCATAAGAAATAGTGTTTGTTGAGTATTTGTTGACTTGACACTAACCCAAGACATCTTAGTTTCTGCATTAAATTAAAAAAAATAATGGATCTCCCAGCCCGCAGGCTGGGGACTCCTGGCCTCTTCTGTACTCGTCACACGCCTCCCGTGCTCAGTGGACATCCGAGCCCCCTGGGATACTCTTTCCATCCCCATGGCCGGTGCCTTTATTCCTCCTTTCCCAATATTCTCCCTCCTGGAAATATCCAATTTTATTATTTAAAAATTTAATGACCAAATTTACTCATTTAACAAACATTTGAGTGTCTATTTGCCAGGCATTATATGAGGCTGGAGATATGGAAACAAATTTGTTTCTCCTAAAGAAATTATTACCTAAAACAGGGGTTGGCAAGCTACAGCCAGTGGGCCAAATCCAACTGAAGCTTGTTTTTGTAAATAAGGCTTTATTAGAATACACACCCAGGCCCACTTCTTCCTCTTTTATGGCTGCTTTTGAGGTACAATGTCATCGATAAATAGTCATGGCAGAGATTTAGGACCTGAAAGTCATAAGATGTATACTATCTGGCTCTTCAAGAAAAAATTTGCTGACCTAAGGTCTAAAACAAGAGCTCTTAACCCTTAACTCTTTTGCTGGACAAGTTTCCAAGGGGATCTATGAAGCTGTTAGAATTTTATTCAAAATATGCGCTTATGTAATGTTTCTGGGAAGAGGTGCATAGATTTCACCTCTGTTTCTAAAACCCCAGTCATGCCAACATGGTGAAGATCCAGAGCTACAATAAGAGAAGAGAGATGAGTCAACTAGCACAGTGAGGTGCCCCAGTAAATATGTGCTAGATCAGGTACAGGCAGAAAAAGAAAATGATTAATTCTGCATGAATTTGGGATTTTCCTCAAAGACTCTAGATGAGGTGATGCTTGAGATGAATTTTGGGAGATAGCTGTTTGTCAGGCAAATGCTAGGCAAGGGTGTGGGTCAGTATTTGACTTTCTGGAAGAGGGAGCAGCAGGTCACAGGTAGACTGCAGAGCAGCCTGGAGCATTTGAGGAGCTACAAGATGCTCAATGCGGTTAGTGCAGAGGTATAAGGGAGACGGTTTGGGATACGAACTTTGAGAGGCTAGATCACACGTCATGCTAGGGAAGGGCAAATGGCACAGAGAGTGTGGAGCCGTAGAGATTTTATTTACCAGTTCCATGGAGGATGGGTAAGAAGGGTCAAAACTAGGGGCAAAGGAAGGAGTTAGAAGAATTTTGATGAAATCAAGATGAGGGGTGAATTATTTTCTATAGGGATAGATAAAGGGTTTGGCTAGCAACTAATTTAAAGAGGAGAGAAAAGGTCAAGTCCCAGCAAGCTGCCAGCGTGTGATCTTCGGTGACACGATTACTCAGCAGTATTTGGAACGTAGCAGGAGGGGCGGCTGGGTAGAGTGCAATGGGCTCAACTGGAATATGGTGTTTGTGGTGCTTTTGAAACATCAAAGGGGAAGTTGATGTACTGTCTGGTCTGGAGAAGGCTAGCTGGAGGAGGCCGAGCTGGAGATACAGACTTGAGAATCCTCATCAGACCACTGGTGTGAAGCTTTTTCTGGGCTTAGTGTGGCATATAAGTGGTACAGAATGTCAAGGACAGTCCTTGAGATGCACCAAGACTTAAGGGTTGAGTAGAGGAAAAGAGGCTATCAACTTTCTCTCCCATTCCGTTCTCCTCTTCTCTCTTTTCTCCCCACTCTCTTGCTCCTGGTTTTCTAGTGTAAAGTATTTTTTTTTTTCCTAAGGGGGTTCTTAGCCCCAGAAGATCTATAGCTCTGCTGGACAGCTACGTCCAAGATTCACAGAAGATCCTCGTATACCTTCTAAGAAGGGTGAAGGGGTAGAAGGGAGAGAAATAAGATTACTGTATGTAGCACAATGTCCAGCACTCAGTGAATGCTTAGGATTTGCAGGAGGGGCAACTATAAGCTAAAATATATTATGGTCTAAAATTGAGTAGAGTGTAGGTTTTGAAGTGAGAGAGCTCTCAAGTCCACATGCAGTCACTTGGTAGGTGTATGACCTTTGTCAAATTACTCTTCTGTGCCCTGGTTTCCTCATATATAAATTATGGATAATAATACCTCCTCAGAATTGTTATGACTATAAAGGAAATAATAAAAGTTTTTTGCATAATGTTAGCTGTTTTTATTATCATAATTGTATACTGCAATCCTAATTCTATGACCTAATTCTTTGGCTTTCTTTTTTATAGTACTCGTTTTTTTAATTTGCATCTTCCTTATTCATCAGGCAGACTGTGATGATACATTAATTAACAGCTCACAGCCTTGAAGTCTTCCATAGTTCTTAAATAACTTTCATACATGTCAGCTCGTTTGGCCATTCCCTGCACTTTAGATGCACTGGTCCATTCCCAGGATACCAGTCGACTCCTGTGCCCCATGGGAGAAACCACAGAGGGTGGGTTTCATGAGCTCACATGGGCCTGAGGAGCACGCCCCAGGGCTACTGAGAAGGGTCTCCTGTCTCCATGCTGAGGACAAGGCGATTGAGCTCCCAGCCAGACACCTCTCCGCCCCTCACCCCCAACACACCCCTGCCCCACCGGTCAGATTGCCCACCACCTCCTCCCCCGGAGGCTGGTGACGGGTGGGCTGCTGTATGTGCCCTTCCGATGCTCTCACCACTTTCTCTGGTGTGTTGACAATGGCCACAGTTGATCCTTGTGCTTCACAATTGCCCCTGCTTTTGTTCCAGGCCCTTTCAGAGGTGGACAAGAAAAAACATCTTCCTTGATGAAAATTCCACCTGCTGGGGCAGACTAAGGGAATCCAAGGAAAGAGAGTGTCCGATTAGCGGTCGTGGGTGTGAGCCCCGGAAGTGAGTCAGAAGATAGTGGGACGTGGGTTTGTTTACAATGATTATGTTCATACAAATAATCCTCAATCCAGGAAGAAATTTCACCCAGTCAAGTCCCAGTTTCCCTGTCTATAACATGAAGGGAATGAATTAGAAGGCCTTCATTGGGTCCCTTTGAGCAAAAAAATTTCATAAGAAAGGGGCCGTGGGAAAAGTCTCTAAGGACTCAGTACACAAGCCCAGACCAGGCTGCGCAGGTGGTTGGAGCATCGTCCCACTCACCCGAAGAGTGTGGGTTCCGTCCCTGGTCAGGGCGCGCATGGGGGGCAGCTGAGGGATGTTTCTCCCCACCCCCAACTCCTCCTCCCCCTCTCCCTTTCCCCTTCCCTCTCTCTAAAATCAGTAAAAACGTACCCTTGGTGAGGATTTAAAAAAAAGAAAAAAGAAATCAGTGCATGAGAAGCTGAGGGTGGAGAGGTACTAACCCTGCCCTTTACCCGTTCCAAAGCTCTCTGTGGGAGGGAAGCTGACATTGCCGTTCCCGAAAGGCGGCGGGACTGAAAGGAGAAGCAAATCTGAAGGTAGGCATTCGGCGAATGTAACACACGAACATCAGAGCAGTTGTTCAGTCCCTGTGACTGTTTGTCTCTGGACAGTGGAGGTGGCAGGGGGCTCTCAGTCACTCTGTGCTAGAATATTTCAGAGATTTTCTTTCTTGGGACTTCCATCTAACAACTACCATTATTTGCCGTGCCCCACACCCCAAGTTCTAGTTCACATCTTTTCTCTTTTTGGGTGTGGCAGTAGGCGCGCAATGCTGAGAGAAGGACCAGGAGAAAGGAAGAGGAATGGATTAATTTAGTGCTGGAAGGAAGCCTCTCCCTCCTTTCTCACACCCACCTCTGACAGTATATCCCGCAAGAGCTGTTCGGGCCGCTTCCTCTGCAGCCTCCACACAGCACCTTCGCTGCCCGCCCCCGGCCTGGTGCCTCAAACTCTCTGTGAGAACTCGTCCTCCTGGCCTGTAACTTTTGAACCCTTTTCTGAGCAGCACTCAGCTCTAAGGACCATGGCTAACTAGAGTAAGTTTCAGGGTTAGGGGCTGGCTATTGGCAGACAAGAAGGCAGGTGAACATTCTAGTTTTCCTGTGGGCAGAAAAGAGGGAACTATTTCTTTAAATAGAACGAACGGAGCTGATAGACCTCAAAAAAGCCTCATTCTTTCCAGGGTGCTGGCGGTCAGAGCCGGTGCAGCGGCTCTGCGGTGGCCGAATGGATCCTCAGTGGCCCAGTTACGGCGGGAGACCCCTTTGGTTTACACATTAGCTACTTACAAGTATATTAATAAAACATACAAGTTAGCATTCTCTTTTTATCTCTGGCTCCAGCTCAAAGGCTCTTTGTGATTTGTAATAACTGGTTTTCACCAGAAACTGAACACAACTCCATAAATACTTGGGGAGCACCTTCTCCACGGAGCTCAGGGCACTGAGTTGGTACAAAGACAAATAAGAAATTATCCTTCTTCTAAAGATGTACACAGTAGTAGGTGTCTTAAGGGGAAGTGAGAAGGGGATCCTCAGAAAGCTTCAAGAGGAGGTGGGTTTAGTGGGGAGAGCCGTGCCTCACCCATCTCTTCTTCCCCCAAAGCTCCGGCATTGCACCCAGTACTTTATCGTGGACCAGTATCTCCTGTTACTGTCCTTCGATGGCTGGTCTGCTCTAGTGCCTGGCACATAAGAAGATGCTGAATACAGGGTCTTGGTGGTTTTTTTTTTTTTTTGTGGGAATGGATTTCTTTGTAACAATTCCTTTAGGAGTACAACATATCAGAGTTTATTAAGTACTTTCACATTATATCACAGTGATTCCTTACAAGTCATCCTCATACCTGGGGGGAAACTCAGGACAAGACATTTCACTCAGTCTAGGATTCTCAACTATAAAAGGAAGGGAATGAATTAGAAGATTGTTTTCTTGGTGGGCTGTACTTATTTTATTTTCTTCTTCAGTTTTATTGAGATATAACTGACATAGAACACTGTGTAAGTTTAAGGTGTACAGTGTGATGATTTGATGCACATATATATTGCAAAATTTATCACCACAATGAGATTAGTTAACATCTTCATCACTTCAAATAATTTCCCCCTTTTTTTGATAGTAAGAACATTTAAGATCTACTCTTTTAGCAACTTTCAGGCATAGAATACAGTATGCTGTACATGAGATGTGCAGCCCCAGAACTTATAAATCTTATAAATTAGCAGATCTTTATGGACACTTCCTGCCAAATAATGTGTTGGGAAAAGAGTCCTTGAGAAAGGTCTCTAGGGATCCAGCACCCAAGAACCGGGCGGAGAGATTGTTGTCACGCACATTACCTGTTCCATTGCTCCCTGTGCTGTTGAAGCTGCCGTTGCCTTCACCGAAAATCTGTGGGACTGCAAAGAAATCAGCTGTTGGCTCGGCCCCGACTGCGGGACACAGTCCCCACAGGGGCCGTTAGGCACTGTGACTATTAATGGAAAATTTTGAACTCTCTGACTCTCAGGTCAGCTATGTTCACTTATTCCTATTCATATTTTCTTCCTGCTCTTTGATGTGGTAGGAATTGCACCTTCGGGTTGGGTCATAAGGCAGCTCTTACCCAATTGCTGCCTCCAAATCGCATTTCCTCACTCATTTAGTTTCCTTCTTGGAGAAGATTCTACTTACTGCAGTTGCAGCAAAATCCCTCAATATGACGCTTTTCTTTCTAAGCATGTGGGTGAATAAGTTTCTATGCGCACAGAAGGAAATTTCTGCCTCTGTAAAATCCTTTATCTTAGATTACCGCTCTTGCTACAGCCTATCCTTAAGATGAACTGGGGCTGAATTTTCACAGTGTAGCAACAATGACAAACACTGCTGAGTATTTCAGCTCAGATTATCCAACTCACACTCTAGAGCAAAAGCTCTGTGTGGGGTTCTGTCAATTCTACCTCTCCAGGTAGACCAGGGAACCTGGCGCCTGGTGGGTTTGGGGAAGTGAGAAGGAGGGTGTCAGTTTCTCACAGGCGGAAAGACTTGGGCACTTAACCTCACCTTCTGAGAAAACAGCCAAAGAACAAGGCAGTATGGAGCTGGGTTAAGAGCTTGCTCAAATACTCACAATAAAGCAGAAATAAGGTCATTCCGGCCACTTTAAGCGCCACCACAATAAACACAGAGATGATCATGTGCCAGTTCATGGTGAAGGAGATGAGGAGGCCTGTGAAGATTAGGGTGCAGAGCCACCGTCAGTGTCTGGGGATGGGAATTCTTTCCATGAGGATACATGCCAATGTCTCCCTCAGAGCACTCTTGCGAGGGGGCTTGGGAGACAGGCGTGCCATTAACAGGCACCAGGGGAGACCCGGCACAGGCCCAGAAGACGGGTAGGGTTTGTGCTGGTTGGGAGCCTTGGAACTTGGCGTGCTGCCGCTCCTTCGCCCATCCTTCAACCCTGGGCCTCAGCCCTGTCCCCATCTGTGGCCCCCCAATTTCTGCCTAAGAAAATAAATCCTTTCCTGGACTTTGAAAACCCTTAGTCTTGAAAGGAATCTTGCTCCCTAGCACCTCCAGTAGTCGTCTTGGCCATATTGACTTCAGCTGTCAGACGCCTCAGTCTCAAAGGCTCTGCCAGGGGCTGAGAGATAGGACAGGTGTCCCTGAAGGTCTCGGCACTGGGGAAGAGCCAACTACCTGTGCAGAGGACAGATACGTAGACTTACCTGCCCCCTCCCGGAGAGGCTGGGCTGCTTGGCAGGTGGGGATCTTCCCGGTCTTCTTCCTGGGGCGGTGGGCAGAGGCCCCTTCTCCTGAGAATACGCTCCTTCTGCTCAGGCAGCGTCCGTCCTCCTTTGCAGTCTCTCTGTCTTGGCAGCATCCCAGGCAAAGCCCTTCTTCCTGTTCAGTGTTCTAGGCACAGGGAGAGGGCGGGGCAAGGGAGGAAGAGGAAGGTTCCTGCCTGAGCGGTTCTGATACAGGGGACCGTTTTTAGGAGAATTTGGAAAACAAAATACCTCCATGCAGATTCATCCTTTCTCTGTATCTGAATCTCATGGAAATACAGTGGAAAGAAAATGTAGTAAAATCTTAACAAATAGGGAATCTGCTTGAAGGGTTTCTGGAAATTATTTGTACTTTGCCAATCACCTGTTTGCACATTTGAAGTCGCTGATGTTAGTGAGCAGGCCCTCATGTGTCCCATTGTCCCCACTCGCTGTCTGTCATGCAGCTCTGCTCAGTCCGCTCTGGCCCCAGCCCCTCCCCTCCCAGCCCGTGCGCCCTGTGACGGTGGTCTCTCCGCGGTATTTTATGAGCGTGGTGCTCTGCTGGGCACCGGGGACAGGGGGAGGCTGAACAATGCTCAAGTCCTAATCAGGGAGTTTTTATTGCATGTTAAATTTGAAGTTTTCCTTTTATTACATTTTTCCTATAAAAGCTACATGTATTTATTAGAATATATTGGTAAGGAAAGTTGAGAAAATGAAAGGCATCCGTACAAGGTCGCACATTTAACTATAGTCATTGTTAACGCCTCCGGGGGTGTATTCTTTCTCGATGAGTTGGTAGGTTGGAAAATATAGATATTGATTCATTTAGAAAAATGGAATCATTTTGAATACAGGGGCGGGGAAAAAGTATGTTTGTGGAGCATATAATAGGTGCAAAGCCCAAGTAGAACCATGTCCGTTCTCCCAAGCCCGCATACACACATGCCTCTGCGCTCGCTTACCCAGGCAATTCTGACTCACCCTTTGGGTTTTAGGTTAAACGTCACTTCTTTCAGGAAAATTTACCTGCCGATTCTCCTTCCCCGTCCCAGATGCGTGGAGGTGCCCTTTCCTTATGGTCTCATTATATCATGTCCTTTGTCCTTGAGAGCGCCTATTGCATGATAATGCATTGGTTTGCTTCCCCTGCTGGACTCTACAAAGTGCTGAAGGCAGGACCACATCTCCCCACACCACTGTTCCTCCAGCGCAGCCACGGGCTCAGACACTGCAGCACAGCAACGGGCTTCAAGGCTTCTTGGGTTTTATGATTTATTTGAGAGAGAGTCGCAGGGCCTACAGAATATTTCTAATCAATTAGCAATTTTTTGTGATACTCTTTATACTAATTAATAAATTTGCTGTTGTAGTTTCCCATAAGGATAATTTAAGTGCTAGACCATCTGTGAAGGTTTTGATTCCTGATTAGAATACTTCATATCTTAAGTAACCAACCTGGAGAAAGGATTGCGACTATAGTACTTCAATGATAACAGACCACCCCCCAGTTAATAGAGTTGATTTTTATTCATCTATATATTATTAATACTGTGTTATTTTCTAAAAATTGCCACTCAGGCCATGTGACAAGCCAGAAGTCATAGAATGAACAGAATGAGCCTGCCTAGGGAGTTACTGACCCCCTAGGACCCCCTTGTAGAACTTGATAACATATACACTCACCGGAAGAGTCAGGGCCCAGACGGAGGGGTGGCTGTGGGAAGCGGAGATTCCAGGGCAACTGTCACACTTGCACTTTGAGCAGTGGCTTACTGAATCAATTGCAAGTCATGCTGCAGAGGAACAATGAGGACATGACTCCATTTCTGACAAGCGCCACCGGTCTGGGCAAAAGAAACACTGGCTTAGCAGTGAGACTTCCTGCTCGGGTTGCCTCTAGCCTGGCAAAACAGAATGGGGGGAAGAAAAACTGCACCCTGCCCTGTGGTTTCTCTCCTCAAGTCCCCTAGGATTTGACTCTTTGGATATCTATCAGGTCCCATCTCAACTTGGAATTATTAAAGTGGTACTTGTGATATTTACAAGATCAAGAAATGACCTATATCTGTGTGCTAAGAAAAGCTTTGATATTTTACTTTAGAAAAGCCAAACTCATAAGCATGACCAGCAAGAAATTTTGTGATTGAACTTGTTAAAGTTAGACTTCTTAGTGAACTGAAAACCAGTGGAACAGCATTTTGCAACGGCAAGGTTCTGAAGTCTGTTCGTTGCATCATTCATCAGGAAGCACGCTGTGCTAAGAGATTCACAGATGTGGTAATAAAAGCTCTGTGCCAGACATGCTTGAAAGTCTGGAAACACAGAGAAGCCAGGCTTGGTGGGATGAACCGGATAGTCTGTTGTACTCCATGTATATACTAAGCAATGTTGAGATGGACAAAAGGAACACAGACATAGCATCGGTCCCAAGTATTCCAACTTGCTTGGCTATTGAAATGATTAGTAGCCTCCCTTAGGGGAGGTGGTATTTGAATGCCTATAAGGCTGTCTACAGCTGAGTGAAATGGCTATACCGTCTGTTGTGTCTGCTCATGGACTTACTGGTTCCATTTATGGATTTTGTCTTGCTCATTATATTATAGATCTTTTGGTTGCAAGTATAAGAATTTCAACACAATGAAATATAGGCAAAATTGGTATGTATTGACTCATGAAATATGACAAAAGGTTTTACAGTGACACCAAAGCAGGACAAGGATGTAGCTGGACCTCTGGAATATCAGGAGCCAAATAAATCCCGGTTTCACAATATCTACCTCTAGTCTACGCGTATTTCTGTTTGTGAGAGGAAATAGCTATGACAAGGTTTTGGATTTAATGTTTTACACATTTTTTCCTTGGATTAAGACCTGGAATAGACCCATCAAATATGGTCCAAGCAGGACCACAGTAAATGTTTTAGATGGAGCCAAGGAGGAGCAGTTACCTGCAGAAGGAGGCAGGTGTTCTGAGAAGAAGGTACTAGGAAGGAAAAAAAATCTGGTCTGTTTGAGCCATCCTCACTACCTCTTACCCACTTGCCCCTCCGGCCTCCGGCCTCTAGCCTTGCCAATGCTTTCGCTCTACCCTTATAACTGAATTACAAATTTACCTTCTCCAGGCTAGGTTCTCTTTGGATGATCACACATCTCTTTCCAGTTCAATTTTCTAATCTGAATTTTCATTCTTCGTTTTCAAGAATTGGCTGGTGTTTTCCAGCTAGGTGACATGAAGTCAACCCAGTGGCATTAAGCTCCAAACCACATTTACTTACCATTTTCCCCAGACTCAATCCAACTTCCTTTCTCAACTTCTTTATTTTTCTTAATGATTGTATCATATTGCAACACACTAACACACTGAAAATGTCCTTGATTCCTCCTTTTCTATCAACCACATGTTAAGACACTAGTTGATGTTTTTCAAAAGCTCCTTTATTATCTTTGCCATTCCCACTACTCCATCCGAGTCCAAACCCTTCATCGCAGCTGGAGTGCAAGCGTCTCAAACCCTTTGCGTCGTCCTCTTTCAATCAGAATTAGATGACACCATCAGACAAGTCTTTATAAAATCACTGTTAGGATCATGTCACTTCCCTACTTAAGATTCTGTTCTAACCATTAGCATTAACAAGCCTCAACTCTTGAGCTTGGGAGGAAATATTTGTAAACGCTGTATCTGATCAAGGATTGATATCCAAAATAGGTATGCAACTCATACAACTCCATAGCAAAACAAAACACAATGAAAACCATACCTTATTAAAAATTGGCAGAGGACTTGAATAGATATTTTTCCAAAGAAGACAAATGGCCAACAAGCAGTACATGAAAAGGTTCTCAGCATCACTAATCATTAGGGAAATGCAAATCAAAACCATAAAGAGATATCATCTCACACCTGTTAGAGGGCTATTATCAAAAAGATAAGAAGCAGCAAATGCTGGCAAAGATGTGGAACCTTGGTGCACTATTGGTGGGAATTAAATTGGTGCAGATACCGTGGGAAACAGTACGGAGGGTCTTCAAAAAGTTTATGAACTAGAACTATCATATAATCCAGCAATCTCACTTCTAGGTGTATATCTGAAGAAAATGACATCGCTCTTTTGAAGCGCTATCTGCACTTCCTCTATGTTCAGTACAGCATTATTCACAATAGCCAAGAACTGGAAACAACCCAAGGTCCATCCACATATAAATGGATAAAGAAAATGTGATCTTTTATGTTATTCAGTCATAAAAAAGAAGGAAAGCCTGCGGTGGAGACAACCTGGATGGACCTTGAGGGCATTGTTGCTAAGTGAAATAAGTCAGAGAAAGACAGATACTGTATGACCTCATGTATATTTGTAGTCTGAAATCACCGGACTCATAGAAATGGTCGTTGCCAGGGGCTGGGGTAGGGGAAATAGGGAGATGTTGATCAAAGGC